ACTACTGCACCCAAACGTCAAACATTACCGTTCGCAGCCTTGAAGCAATTCCAGGAGACAGAGGGAGAAATAGACGGTTACATCTCGGATTTTGAGAGACAATGTGCGTTTGTCCGGTAGAGCAGCTGAAGCCCTTTGAGCCATACCTGACGAGGAAATCCAACAGTACCATTCGGTTAAAGAGGCCCTGCTCAACCGCTATGCCGTTACCCCTGAGGTATATCGTCGGAGGTTTCGAGAATCCAAAAAGAAAGGAGGAGATTCGTACATGGAGTGGGTCTGCTGTCTACATCGCCTCTCATTGGGTCACCTGGTGTCAAGCTGTATTGGGAGAAGAGGTACTACAACTATTTCTTCTGGAACACTTCTTAAACTCCCTGCAACCCGAACTGCGAGAGTAGATATGGGACTGACGACCACTCGCTTTGGCCAAAGCTGCCTGCTTGGCAGATGAGTATACTGATACCAGGCGGATGGATCAGACTACCATGAAACCCCCTCCCCACCTTGAGTTCCGGGCTCATGTTCCTCCAGGTCCATCTCACTACCAAGGGCCACCCAAGTATCCCCAGGACCAATCCAACATTAAATGCCATGTGTAAACAGTTGGGGCATGTTGTTGCTAATTGCCCTTTGGGACCTCTCAAGCCACCCTGGGGGCATCCCTTACTGGTAGCCAATCCTGCCCCACCTCGTACCCTGGCTGCTCATAGTTTGGAGACAGAGGCCAATTCCGAGGAATACTTGGGGGTATTATACGAGGCTGACCCAATACAAGCTGCTTCCCTGGATAACCACCAGCAGCACCGACAGGAGGTACGAATAAATGGTAAACCGGCCCAAGGATTACGGAACAGCTCCCTTCACTTTGGTCCAGCAACACCTAGTAAACGCAAAAGAACGCACTGGACACACAGTCACTGTACGGGTGGCCGGGGGAGCTGTGTTTCGCCTCTCCACCACGCGCGTTCACCTGGATTGGGGAGCTGAATTCGGCCTGGTGAATGTAGTAATTATGGATAATTTGCCTGCCGAAGTGTTGTTGGGAAATGATCTGGGACCTTTAACATCTGCATACATCCCCACTATACCAGTTGCCACTCGTCTAAAAGCCAGAACTGCAGGAACCAGCTCACCAGCCCGGGAGACCCAGGTAAGAACTAATGAGATCCCAACTATGACAGTAGACAGAAACCCCTTAGCCTGGGACACCCCAGAGGAGTTTGGGAGGGAAACCAAGGGAGACCTGTCCCTCCAGATAAATAGAGAGAAAGTGGAGACAGAGCAAGGAGGACTAGAGAACGAGAGATTTATATGGGAACAAGATAGGTTGTATAGGGTGACCGAAACCCATAAAACAGGGCAAGCCCCATCCCAGAAGCGCCAACTAGTGGTTCCCAGAAAGTACAGGTTGGAGCTTCTTCGGATTGGGCACAATATCCCTTTGGTAGGACACCTAGGAGTAAATCGCACATCCCATCGAGTAACCCAGACCTTCTTCTGGGCCGGAGTCCCCATATGTGCGACAATACTGGAGGACTTGCAACGTCTGTCAGCGGGTGGGGAAATGGGGGGATCACCCCAAGGCTCGACTGTTATCCATGCCTATTATTGAAGCACCCTTCAGCAGGATAGCTGTTGCCCTGGTGGGACCCATCTCCAAACCCAGTCCATCCAGTACGAAATACATTATCACCATGGTGGACTACGCTACCCGCCATCTGGAGGCCGTTGCTCTGTTGAACATCCAGACAGACACTGTTGCCAGTGCTTTGGACAGGATCTTCACCAGAATAGGGTTTCACAAAAAAATACTTTATGTCTGGGGAACCCAATTTACAGTAGAACTTACCGGAAGGTCTGCGGTATCAAGCCCCTACTCCGTTCACCCTACCACCCCCAGACTAAGGGTCTCTGTGAACGTTTCAATAGTACGCTGAAGCAAATGTTAAAAACCTTTACAGACGAATACAGAGACTGTGAGCGATTCCTACCACACCTCTTGTTTGCCTATCTAGAGGTGCCGCAAGAATCCACTGGGTTTTCTCCCTTTGAGTTTCTCTACGGGAAAAGGGAATGAGGGCCCCTTGATCTAATTCAGGAGCACTGGGAGGGAGAAACGGAACACGAGGTGACTCGCATTGTATCATGTGTTGGAACTCAGAAGGTATGGTATGATCGGGATGCCCAGCAGCGTACGTTCCAGGTGGGACAAAAAGTCCTGGTGCTAAAACCTATCAAGCAGGAAAAACTAGAGGCGGCACGGCAAGGCCGTGGTGGAGCAACTATGCGACACCACCTATGTAATTGCCAGTTGTGCTCACGAAAGGAACCAGAAAGCCTTTCACGTCAATATGCTAAAAAAATATTAGGAGAGGCAAGAAGATGTAGCCGCTGTATGCGTCCCAGCCACAGACGATCCTAACAGTCTTCCCCTACCAGACTTACTAGAGAAGAATTCGCAAAGTGACCCCCTCAGTCAGGTGAAGCTAGGAGACCGATTAACCCCGAAGAGAGGGATCAGATACGTCAATTATTGGAGGAGAAACGATGAACCTTCTCCCAAGAAAAGGGTTTACTACACTAGCTACCCATCAAGAAGAAACCCCAGGGCAAGCCCCACTCAGACAGCCTCCCTACCATATTCCTGAAGCAGTCAGAGAAGGGATGCTAGGGGAAATACAAGAAATGCTAAGGTTAGGAGTCATCGAACCCTCAGACAGCCCCTGGGCTTCCCCAGTGTTCTAGTACCCAAGAAGGACAGAACCACACGTTTCTGTGTGGATTACCGACGACTAAATGACCGGACAGTGACTGACGCTTACCCAATGCCCAGAGTAGATGAACTACTAGACCGTATAGCCAGGGAACGTTATCTGACCACCATTGACCTCTGTAAAGGCTACTGGCAGATTCCTCTGGCCGAGGAGGCTATCCCCAAGTCGGCCTTTGTCACCCCGTTTCGCTTATACCAATTTAAGTTTATGCCATTCGGGATGAAAATTGCCCCAGCCACCTTTTTTAGCGCTTGGTGGATAGACTCGTCGATGGCTTACAGGATTTCGCCTGTTCTTACCTGGACGACATTGCAATCTATAGTGAGTCCTGGGAGGAACACTTAGTTCATGTGGGGACCGTGCTGGATCAGATTCGGGCCGCCGGCCTGACCCTGAAACCAGACAAATGCCAGCTTGGGATGGCAGAACTCCAGTACCCGGGACACTGGGTGGGGTGTGGGAAACAGCGACCAGAACCAGCTAAGACTGAGGCGGTTGCTAACTGGCCCACACCTCGCACCAAGACCCAAGTACTGGCCTTCCTGGGGACCTAGTTGTACCTAACTACAGTGCTATTGCAAAACCCCTGACGGACCTGACCAAAAAGAGCTTACCTAGGTAGGTCCTGTGGTCTCTAACAAATGTTTTATCGTCCACACAGATGCTTCCATATTCGGACTGGGGGCAGTTTTGAGCCAAGTTGGAGAGGACAGAGGAGAGCGCCCTGTCGCGTACATCAGCAGGAAACTGTTACCGTGAAGTCAGCTACACAGCAGTGGAAAAGGAGTGTCTGTCCTTGGTGTGGGCATTGAGAAAATTGACCCCTTATCTTTACGGACGGGAATTTACCCTAATAACTGACCACAACCCATTGGTGTGGCTTAACCGGGGGGGACAATGGCCAGCTGTTGCTGTGGAGCCTGGCACTGCAACCCTACAACTTCACTATCCAGTACCTGGTAAGCAGAACGGCAACGCCGACGAGTTATCCCAACAAATGGAACTCAGCCTGTGACAAACGGAACTCAGCCAAGTTGACCTGAAAAAGGTCAAGCCGGGTCTGCCGAAGTGTTCCACATGGAGGGAGCATTGTAACAGATACCCCTGTTCCTGGAGGATAATTCTGTTTTATTTGAAGCTCATGAAAGAGACCGACCGCACAACTTGAATCTATGGAACTATGCTGGGCAGGAGCCAAAAGAAGACTTCCATGAAAATCCTGAACCTGGACCCCTGTACCCAGATTAACAAGCATTAAGTAAATTTAATAGAAAATCATCATCATTTAATGCAATCTAAAGTGATTTGGAATCTAAATATCACAAATAAATAATTAGATAAAGGGAAAAAAAACTATTTTAAAAGCATTTGGGGGAAAAAAGTCATTTTCTGTTTCGGTTTTCGGCCAAGGACATTCTGAATTTTCCTTTTCAGCCCCAAATTTTCATTTCGGTGCATCCCTATTTGTAACAGTGCCACGGGGGAAGGACAGCGGCGACTACGCAATCTTAGGTTGCTTTGATCCACATACCGTGCTTCTTTTTCTATATACACAGTACTGCCATAAGAGAGGGTATTTTGCAGTCTGCAATGCCTACTAAATGTACAGATACTTGGTGTAACTCTACTAACTGTATACTGTCGATATTCAATATGGATGCATTATTTGAACAATCTGATGGTGGGGTATTTGACCCTTTTATTTATCAATTTTTTTCATACCTGCTGTATGGGTACGCTAATATTTCAGACACTTTCTGAACAATTGGATAAAATTAAATAACATAAAATCCATAAACAAAAATAAAACATTCTGCACTTCATATTCCTGAAAATGATGAACACAAAATGAAACATTCTATGTATGAATATTTACATTGCTTAATATTTTAACATTTTTAGTTATCCCTGAGCAGCAATTTTTATACAACAGATACAATTTTTTTTTGTGTTTCCTACATATATGTGCTCGCTGTGCATTCTATATTTCAAACAAACATCATGATATATATTTTTCTAAAGACAAACTTGGAAATGAATGGGTTACGGGAACAGTGATCATGAACAATAAACCTCTCAGAATTATTCATGATTACTCAGTAATATTCACGTTCTGCAGCTACCGTGAGCAAAGCATCTACCCTTGCGATTTCTTCTTTTATTTCTGTGACTCCAAAGACGCAAGTTGCGTTCTCTAAGAAGTGAAAGAATCCAATTTAATACCCGCGTACCTGCTTGTTTTTGACTGAGTTGTCTTTCATCGTTCGATCCCCTTTTGGGTATAATTCATTGCACACAGCTATTTTCACCCAGACCCTCATTCTGAGCGTGAAGCTGTTAATTATAATCAGGAGCCTATTCTACAGCATGGCTCTGACAATCCGATCCTTAATCTCTAATTTTCTAATAAATGATGTCATAACAGGCCAGGATACTTGCATGTTGTGTTCGTGACAATACAGTGTATTTGGGATTTTTACTGAAAACATATATATATATTTTAGTTTTTTGGCACAGAAGATCTAGGTAAAAATCTCAAAACCAGAGAGTATATTTAACTCCTGAGTAGGGCTGCAAGCTTACATTAAGCAAATAATTATTAAATATAGGACTCCCGGTGCTGAGAATTACTCCCATGATCTTCAGCCAGCCACAAAGGCACATCTTTTCTTTTTGACTATTGTGAAATTGTTCATTATAGCACAGCAGGAGAACACTGCTTATCCCAGATCTACAAGTTGTGTTTGATTAATTAGTCTATAATTACAGTAATGGCTATCATAGACAGATAGATGGGACAAGAGGATAGAGAAGGAATCTGTTAGAGCTGGAATAGAATTAGGATACTAAAGCATAAGAGGCAAAATGGATGAGGGAACCCCAATAAACCAATTTGGGGATAATGGTCTTGAATGGAGCAGACTTTGAATGACGAAAGAGCACATGTAAATCAATGCAAGGCAAGAACCCAGGGAAGAAGACAGCTAATGTTGTGACAGGATAGAAAACGTATGGTTATTTACATAGCATCTATACATACACACTGCATACACCCCAACATTCCTGTATTTAGAGGAAAAGTCCTGATATTGGGTTCTTGTCGCACAGCTCCAGGCTTGCTCCAGGCTTGCTCCTTGCTGCTGTCCTATGTCTGGGCACAACAAAATAATATCCGCTTAAAACATAAAATGAATACAGGCATACCCCACTTTTAAGTACACAATGGGACCAGAGTATGTATGTAAAACGAAAATGTACTTAATTTTCATTTCCCAATTGCATGTACTGCATTGCAATAGTATTTTACAGGCATAACTGATACCGTAACTGCAGGTTGCCAGTGATTTTATTTCCAGTGGGCTTTTATTCAATTAATACAAACAGTAAAAAAAAATAAAAAAAAAAATCTCATTCCAGATTGTGCCATTTATCTTTAATGTTTAGCCTTAAACTGGGAGGAAAAGTAACATAAACCTGCCCCCTGGGCCATTGTCTGCCAATACAGTGCCAGTTTGTATTTGTTAGCAGCTTAGTTGCACACTTTGTTTAGAAAACACACTGCTTTAAGCATTTATGGTTTAACTTTGAATCCTCAGAATTGTGGCTAATCGTAAGTCATAGTTATAGAAAATGGCAGGGTAAACCCTTTCACTGGATGGCGCCGATTGCAGAACATGGACAATGTATGGGCAGAAAAAAAAAAAATATATATATATATAAATGTTCAGCTAGGAGTAGGCATTATAACTTTGAGATGATTAACCTGTGCCATGTCAGAAGGTGTGAAAAGTTCTTACCCCAATGACACTGAACTGAGCTGCTCCAGGCGAGAATAGAACCTTCCATGTACTGTTCACTCGCAAACAGAAGAGGCGCAGGAATGTCTGTACTCGCCAGGCACCTTTAAGTACACTCACGGGTATGTCTGTACTCGCGAGTGTATGTAAAGTAAGTGTATATAAAGCGGGGTATGCCTGCATATAATTACATCAGTTCATGGGATTTTTTGCCCATATAGATTCCTGCTAATACTGCCACTTTCACAATTCCCAATGTTGGGAGGTATGGCAGTGTTGTAGAGTAGGTAACTATTACATTATTTTTATCATTTTATACAGCGCCGACATATTCCGCAGCGACGTACACACTAAGTAACTGCCACAAACAAATAAGAGAAACAGATTTTAAAAAAGTGAGACGGGCCCTGCTTAAAGAGCTTACAATCTAAAGTGAATGCTGTATAAAACATAAAAAGCACAAAATATCCAGGGAGGACAGACATCAATGGTACACATTAAATTTTTTCCACATTAGTTTCACTAGAATACATGGAAATTATAAACACATACTAAAGTTTTATTTTAAAAAAAGAAGGAAAAAAATTAATAATGGTTTGAAGTTGGACCATACACTGCTCCCCCAGCTCTATCTCCTCTCCCCGCCCCCTGACCATCCTAGAAATCAGTCACATAACTCCCCAAATAACAGCAAAAACCGCTTCCCCATTAGACCGAATAAAAGGGAACACATATCAAATTAGCACATAATAAATTAACGGGGACGACAAAACGCCAAACATCGGCAGCACAGGCTCCGAACCCAAAGCATAACTAACGGCTAAGGCAGGATCGCATGTTGAGAACAAACACTAGTCTCGGAGATAGGTGCTCTGTGCCCCTCGGAGAGGTACGGAATGGGAAACATGGAAAAAGGTTCGGCTAACAAGCCCCCAAAAAAACACAAAAAAACCTGGGGACCAAATTACAGCTTTGATTCCCGACACAATCGAGAACCATAACACGATGTGATTAGTATCCTCAAATTGATGGTATGTTGGAGACCTGCGTGTCCCAATCTACAAATCTTCTTAACGTATGTATTGACTGTTTGAACTACTTCTCAATAAAAACAGATTTACAAAAAAAAAATAATGGTTTGAAGTTGCGTGTTTAATGAGACCTAAAATATACTTTTAACTGTAGATAAGTACTATACATTATAAACAAATGTTTAAAAAAAAACGTAATTCCCATGGAGTTAGGTCTTCCCGGCCGGTGGGCAGGATCAGTCTCGCCCACCGGCCGAAGTAATGCTGAGGAGGAGCTGCAGTGACCCGAACCCGGGGGTCTCAGGTAAGTGACTGAAGGGGTTTTCACCCCTTCAGCAACCGGGGATTGGGAGGTGGAAGGGAGAGGGGACCTGCAGTTTCCTGGCACTGGAGAGTCCCTTTAATTCCCAGTGTCTGGAAAAATGGTGCATTTACATGCAAAGACCACATGGGGGTGCCCGAGACCAACACAAAGATATAGTGTTAGTGGAAAGGATGTAGCTGTGATCAGTTAGTTACCAGATCACACAGTCGGGGAAGATTAGATAATGTTAAATTATACCTCTATATTGCCTTTATCAGTAAGTAAATTAATGGCGTCTTAGCACCAGGTCCATTTCACTAAGCTGAAGCGGTTACAGTGCTAAAATTGACCCTTTAAAGGTAAAACACTGTAATATGCATGCTGTAAGTTGGTCATTTTAAAATTTTACACCAAATTGGCCAAACTGAATTTTTTTTACATTTTTTTTTCAAGTCGGCTATATATCCAGTTCAGCAATTTTAACCTCAATTGTGAAATGCACTTTGAATTCATACTTAAAGGGTTACTCCAAACACCATGACCACGTCAAATTATTTTAGCCTCAATGTTGCTAATCGGCTGTAAATTCCCATTCTAACGTTTTGTGAATAAAAACTCTATTAAGTCGAACTGCTTCACTAAAGCAATTGTAAAGCCTTTGTCTTATTAAAGAGGACGAGGTAAAGCTTCCTTCAAGACGAGGGGAGCCCCAGAGAGGTCCTATAACCGAGAATCGGCAAATGGCGGGGTACACAAGAGACGAGAGGTGGTTGGCGGCTAAGATGGGTTCTTATTTATATTGTGGTCGGTATTTTTGGGTACAGCTAGGGAGATTGATTTAGGACTAGGTGATGGCCTGGCTTTTAAATTCACTCCTAGAATATAGATAATATTAGATTGCTAAAGAGATAAGGTTTAAGAAGAGAGGCAGATAATTGAGATAATCGCGAGAAAAGCAAAAATGACTGGAGTTAATCTGGAAATGGATGAACAGAAGGTAAGATAATCATATAACTATTTGGTTACATAAGGATGAACATGATTTTTAAGGTGAGACTGTCAGGATTAGACTCATTGGCTTTGAGGAACTAAAGAGATGTTGTATCTCAAAGTTCTACCAAGACACAATGCTTGTGGGGTGGTGGTGATGGTAGCTCCATTGACATTGATAAAGTAGGATTAGTTCTTGAACTTGGATATCGAACAAGCTATGTTTTGGAGACAATGCATTTCAAAAAGCAGGAAGACATCTAGTTCGACAAGGAGACAAGTTAATTATAAGAACTAAGAGAGAGCTCACAAGAAGAAAGATGTGCCTGAGTGTCATCAGCAGACAAGTGGCACTGGAACCCAAAACGAGGAATGTATTAGATTGCTATAAGAGGCTCCATAACGTAAAAAAAAAGGCCTAAAACAAAACAAAATGAAAAAGCATTGACACGCGTAAGGTAAAAAACGAACAGGATACCTGTCTTAAATCAGCAATATTTTTATTAAAGTTTTTAATATTGTTAAATGTGAAGTTAGCGGAGAGTCCATTGTTAAAGGGGCAAATATAGGAATTTAAGACAATTATCGCCATGTTATTTCCAATGGCAGGAAGAGGTACGTAATTTTGATCAGCTTTCAGTCTACTGCCCACGATAATGTATTGTAAAAGCATTGGCATCTTCAGAGGAACAGAATCTAATGAGGGGATTTTGCGGAATTAATTTTATCACGTATTATATTATATTAGAGTTGAAGAATGGGTCAATGAACTACTATTATAACTGAAGACTAAGTCTTGTATATTATTTTGTTCCCAACAAGACAGGTTAAGAATCGTCGACTTAAAGGGACACAGTAAGCACCCAAACCACTTCATCTCAATGAAGTGGTCTGGGTGAGGTGTCCCTGCCGTTTTGCTCCTACAATGTAAAACATGGCAGTGTTGGAAATATGGCAATGTTTACATTGCACAGCTAAACACACTTCTAGTGGCTGCTACACTGACAGCCACTAGAGGGAGCTTCCACAACGGAGTCAGACTCAGTACTGATGGTCGCCATCCTCAAGCATTGCATAGAGAAGTATTGGTTTCAATGCTTCCCTATGAGAAGCATTTGATTAGTGGTTGATGACAATTGCCGCACTTGCACTTTTTGTCCACAATGCTTCTCTGTGAGAAGCATCTGATTGGACGATAAGTTGGCAAAGCGTCAGCGTGCTTGCTGACTGAAAAGGAAGAGGGGTGGTGAGCTGTAAGGATGCAGGACACTGGAAAAAAGGTAAGTACATGGTTAATATCTTTGATTATTTAGTTTCAGGGAGGGGGGCGGTGATGACTCTTTTCTCTCTCAAGTGTTGCTACTCCCGTGTCTGTCTGTCTCCAAGTCAACGGTGCCACCATCACCTCTACCTCGCAGGCTCGCTGTCTAGGTGTTCTCTTTGACTCCGACCTCTCCTTCACCACTCATGTCCAATCAATCGCCAAATCCTGTCGCTTCCATCTCGAAAACATAGCTCGCATCCGCCCCTATTTAACACCAGATGCGGCTATGGTGCTGGTCCATCCTGTTGTTCTTTCTTGCCTTGACTACTGCAATCCCCTTCTCAGTGGTCTTATGTGTTCCCAGATTGCACCGCTGCAATCTATAATGAATGCAGCGGCGAGGCTCATTTTCCTATCTGCCCGCACCTCCCACATCGCCCCCCTCTGTCAGTTCCTACATTGGCTTCCAGTTAGATATAGAGCTCAATTTAAGATTCTGGTGCTTGTTTACAAGTCCCTACATAATGCTGCTCCAACCTTCCTACCCTCCCCAATACTCAAGTAAGTCCCGTCAAGGACCCTGCGCTCTGCCGAAGACCTACACCTATCCTCTGTCCGTACTCCCACATCTAATGCTCACCTCCAAGACCTCTCCAGGGCTGCACCTTTTCTGTGGAACTCCCTTCCTTCTCTGTTAGACTCTCACCCAGTCAACACTCCTTCATAAAATCCTTGAAAACACACTTCTTCAGAAAAGCATATCATTTAAACTATTAGAGGGTTTTCCTCCCTCCATGACTCCTCTCCTGCAACTGTCAAACATAACCTACTCTCAGTGAATACTTTTCTAGCAACCTATTTCATTACCTATACTTATACCCTTTGTGTCACTATACCCCACTTCCTCTAGCATGTAAGCTCATTGAGCAGGACCCTCAACCCCTCTGTTCCCGGTGCGTCCATTTGTCTGGTTACAATTACGTGTCTGTTAGTCCACCCATTGTACAGCGCTACAGAATTTGCTGGCGCTATATAAATAATAAAATAATAATAATAATATTGATTTTATTGTTCGGGGCAAATAAAGTTAAAAAAAAATAGGAGATTAATTTGAACACTATAGATTAATTTTAAGGTAACAAAGAGGTGCTTGGGTTGAAATAGAAAATAGTGATGAGAGATGTTAGGAAAGTTTGCTCCTAAGAGAAAGCGTTTAAAGGAACAGTACAAGCACCATAATTGATTTGTTCCAACCAGCTGAAATACATCAGTGTACAAAACTCCCAATAAGGTTGAGCTAGTGATAGGAAGGTCAAGTTATAACAAGGAATGAAGGGGATAGAGATCGTTAAAGTGAGGTGCGGTGGACAATGGACAGATTGCAGACAATGAGGTCCAAGTGAAACCAGGTAGAGGAGTGCTGAGTCCACTGTGTGTGACCACAGGGAGAGGTAATAGAGAAGAACTTGGTGTATCAGAGCGAAGATGGGGAATAAGATAGAGTATCAGGAGGTAGGAAACGGGGAATGCGACGTTAGATATGATCCAGGAGACAATGTGGATGGTCTAGGGGGAGGGCACAGACTGAACAGATGGAGGGTATGGACTTCGCAGGAGAACAAGAGACAAGGGTGGGGGCAAGAGGTAGAATAAAGTGTACTACGGTGACCGTACATTGCCTACGCCGCAATCTTTATTGTCACCAGATCTGGGTGTGTAGGGAAGCTGAAGGCCACCATAACACAGTGAGGCAGGGGTGGCATTGCCACAAAGGAAGAAACAGGTTTCCATGAGTGACGGGCGATGCAGTGAACATTAACCCCTTACCATCTGACCACACTCTCTGCAGAGCAATCTACCATTAACCCTTTAACATCTGTGCATATTCTCGGCCATTTTAATGCTACCACACAACAATCGTATTAACCTCTTACTGGCCAAGTACAATTCTACTACAGAAAACTCTGGTATTAACCCCTCACTGGCTAAGCATACTATCTGCTATTATACATAGTCAAAGCAATCTGGCATTAACCCCTTACTGGCTGGGTATAATGTCTGCTATAATACATCTGCTACAGATGAGTTTGGCATTAACCCTTTACTGGCTGAACATACTGTCTTTACTGTCTGCTATTATAATTGCCACAGATCATTCTGATATTAACCGCTTACTGGATGAGCGTACTGCATGTTATTAAAACTGCTACAGAACAATCGGACATTAAACCCCTTACTGGATGATCAGACTGCATGCTATTAACTGCTTCAGCGCAATCTGAGATCAACTCCTTACTGCCTGGACGTACAGTCTAATATAACACTGCTTTGGTGCAGCCTGGCATTAACCCCTTGTTTGCTGAGCATTCTGTGTGCTATTATAACTGCTTCAGCACACTTATACATTAACCCTCAATCGAATCAGATATTCACCCCTCGCTGGCTAAACATACATTACTTTTCATTAAAACTCTTCTTCTAAAACCTTTTGCTGCACAAGTTTTCTGTGTGTTATCATAGCACTGCCTCTGATATATCAGATAGGATCTCCGGTGGCTGAGAGTTCTGAGAGACAGCGGAGCACAGCGTTGAGAGTTTTAGAGTGATGTTTGGAAGCGGATGCTTAGCATGTTTGGGCAAGACCCTTTTCACCTAGTGTTCCTGTATAAATAAATCTCTTCAATCTAATGCATTAAAAATATGACGAAACAATAAATTAAAGGAACACTATAGTCACCCAAACAACTTTAGCTTAATATACCAGTTTTGGTATATGGATCATGTCCCTGCGTTCTCACTTCTCAATTATCTGCCATTTAGGAGTTAAATCCTTTTGTTTATGCAGCCCTAAGCACAGCTCCCTGCATGTGACTTACACAGTCTTCCTAAACACTTCCTGTAAAGAGTCATCTAATGTTTATACTTCCTTTATTGCAAATTCAGTTTAATTTTTCATTTCCTATCTCTTGCTCTATTAATATCTTGCTAGACCCTGCAGAAGCCTCCTGTATATAATTAAAGTTCAATTTGCAGAGCAGGAAATAAAAACAAATGAACCCTTTTTTTTCACACAGGCTGTCCGTCCCAGCCAGGGGAGGTGTGGCTAGGGCAGCATAAACAAAAGTGATTAACCCCTTAAGGACCGGCCTGTTTTTACGATGTTGTATGTTAAGGACCAGAGCGGTTTCAACACTTTTGTGGTGTTTGTGTTTAGCTGTAATTTTCCGCTCTCTCATTTACTGTTCCAATACAAGTTATATATTGTTTTTTTCAGGACAAGAAGGGCTTTCTTTACATACCATTATTTGTATCATGTCATATATTTTACTTTAAAAAAAAAAATAAAATATGGTGAAAAATTGAAAAAAAAAAAACCACGTTTTTGGAATTTTACTTTAAAAATCTTTTACTTATCTACAAAAGCTAATAAAAAAAACAAACGGCTAAATAGATTGAAAATTTTGTCCAGAGTTTAAAAACACCCAGGGTTTACATGCTTTTTTGCAAGTTATAGGGCTATAAGTACAAGTAGGAAATTGCTGTTTTAATATATATATTTTTTAAATGTATCAATAGTGACATTGCAACACCATTATCTGTCATAAATCCCCGAATCACACCTCACATGTACATATTTTTTTTAAAGTAGACAACCCAGAGTATTCGATATGGGGTATGTCCAGTCTTTTTTAGTAGCCACTTAGTCACAAACACTGGCCAAAGTTAGCATTTATATTTGTTTGCGTGTTATATGCAAGAAATGCTAACTTTGGCCAGTGTTTGTGACTAAGTGGCTACTAAAAAAGGCTGAACATACCCCATTTGCAATACCTTGGGTTGTCTTCTTTTGCAAATGGTATGCCATCATGGGGCTAATTCTCATTCCTGGGCTACCATTTGCTCTCAAAGGCAACCTAACAAATCTGACAAATTTCAATAAAAAAAAAAAAAAAAAAGTAAAATCAAGCCTTATATTTGACCCTGTAACTTTCACAAACACTATAAAACCTGTACATGAGGGTACTGTTACACTCGGGAGACTTCACTGAACACAAATATTAGTGTTTTAGAACAGTAAAATGTATCACAGCAATAATATCATCAGTGAAAGTGCCGTTTGTGTGTGAAAAATGCAAAAAAGTCACTTTCACTGACAATATCATCACTGTGATATGTTTTACTGTTTTGACTAATATTTGTGTTCAGTGAAGTCTCCCGAGTAAAACAGTACCCTCATGTACAGGTTTTAGGGTGCCATAGAAAGTTACAGGGTTAAACACAGTGCTAGCAAATTAAATTCTCTTATTTATATATTTGACGTCTACGTGTATATTTATAAAATTATTTATGTAATTATGTTTATGGACATATGTATATTTCGCATTATTTTTATTTATTTATATATATATAGATATCTATAGAATGTAAGCTCGATTGAGCAGGGTCCTCTTCAACCTATTGTTCCTGTAAGTTTATTTGTAACTGTCCTATTTATAGTTAAATCCCCTCACATAATATTGTAAAGCGCTACGGAATCTGTTGGCGCTATATAAATAGCAATAATAATAATAATATACTTCATTCTAAGTGTATTTTGAAATAAATATATATATATATATATATATACTAATTTCAAAATAAAGTTAGAATAAAATTACATATATAAATTATTAAAAATTATTTTGACTTTTTTATTTATTTTTATTTACTTATTAGTTATATTTTATAATTATATATATATATATATATACACAATATATAGTTATTATATATATATATATATATATACATATATATGTGTGTAATTTAATTATATGTGTATTTTTATATTAATATATGTGTATATATAAATATAAAAATATACTTAGTATGACATTATATATATGATATATATACATATATTATATATAGATATAATACATGCATATATATATATCTTATATATACACATATATTTTTTTATTTTTTTACACTGATTGATTTTATTTTACTTTTTTTTTTATTTTACAGATGCAGAGAGACTGCCTGTCAGCACAGACAGTCCCTCTGCAGGCAGATACACAGGCACCTATTGCGGCCACTTGATCAAGCGATCACATGGCCGCGGGGTCTGGATCTGCCACGGGGAGACTATCTGTGCAGACAGGCAGTCCAGGCAGTCAAGGGGTTAAACTCCTAAATGGCAGTGAATTGAGCAGTGAAGCTTTAGAGCAGGTCTGTTCAACCTGCGGCCCGCCCCCAGATGTTGCTGAACTACAACTCCCATGATTTCTTCAATAAAACAGATAGCCAGGGAATCATGTGAGTTGTAATTCAGCAACATCTGCGGGGGCCACAGGTTGGACAGCCATGCTTTAGAGGCATGATATATATACCAAAACTGCTTCATTAAGCTAAAGTTGTTTTGGTGACTATAGAGTGTCTTTAAAGATAAAATAGACACTTACATTTTAAGTTCTTGTATTTGCTGCAAATTCCCATCATCATGCACCTACTGTCCCACTATTCAATTCTCTGCCATTTAGGAGTTAAATCATTTTTTTTACAGCCCTAGTCACACCTCCCTGCATTTGACTTGCACAGCCTTCCTAACCACTTCCTGACAAATAACCTAGATATTTTAAGTTCCTGCATTGCAGTGTGTTTAATCTAGGATTTCTTATCCCATGCTCTGTTAATAGCCTTCCAGAGCC